TTTGCTAATGCCTATTATTTGCGATGTGTTTCCTACATAACAATGGTAAGTATGTCCAACAGTTGTGAAAAGGGATGAAGGGTCTAGGCCCGAAACGTCAGCCTCTCTGCTCCTATGATGCTGCTTGGCCTGCTGTGTTCATCCAGCCCTGCACCTTGTTGTCTCGGATTCTCCAGCATCTGCAGTTCCTACTATCTCTATTATCAAGGAAAATAGACTTTCAATATCTCGAATGAATTGTATTATCTACAGAATTCCACACGACAAATTTATTGGTACTATTGAATATCCTCAATCCACTAGGTATGTACATTGGCCAAAATTTCTTTATTGTAGCAAGTAACTACCACCTCTTAAATTAACTGTAATGATTGCTCATTAACTTTGTAAGTATTAAAAACCATTTCATTCCAAAGTTTATTAGAAAGCTTCCAGTCAGAAATAAATAAGTTTCTCAAAATCATCTGATTTAAATTATTAAGTTTGGATCAGGTGACTACTATTAAATAAACCAAATCACTGATTTGTCAATTTACTGCAATTTCCCTTCATTCCCAAGATCAGTATACAAAGCTTAAAAATAACACGTGACAGAGTAGGTGGGAGGAGTGCCGAGTGGGAAGAATGCCAGAATCTAACCATTATTGGTCATTTAATTGTCAACAATCCCATTTTCTCGTCAGCTTGTTGCTGGTATCGTGTCTGGTTTGGGTTTGGGGGCAAGTTACGTTGTATAATAGAGCATGGTTGTGGTGCTTTATTGGAAGTTATGAAGAGAGGACCAGCTTTACTGTTTTGGGATTGTTGTAATTGTATGCATGAAAGAGTTCTGTTTCTTGGTATTGACAGCTCCTCAAAATTACATTACACAAGATGAATTATTTTACAAAATAGCTGCAGGTGAGTCCCACCTAATTAAAGAAATTTTGTGTTTCAATAGGAAATTTCACTTGAGTCATGGTGCAAAGATAAATTTTGTGATTCTATCATAGAGATGATTTGCAGTGATTTTCTTCAGTTCGAAACATGTTTAAAGGCATTGTAACATTTAGTTTCAATTGGCAACCGGGCAGAAAATAACTAAGTTTGTTGTCATCTAAGTGTCATGCAAGGTCTTCCAAACAAAACAGCAATGGTTGACCTCATTGGAATTCTGTGCAAATGTAATATCATTGTGATAGCATGATCGTCTGGGTCCACCTGCAACTCATCGACACTCCAAATGAGCAGGTGTTAACAAGAATGGTTCCAGCCCCAACTACGGTTGGATTGGAAAAAGAGAAGCATGTGGTGGTTTCCTATTGCGTTTGTGTGTTTGAAGAGAACACAAACTCTTTCCTGTCTTGCTTCAGGTAGCTGTGGTCTTCTGAGGTCATGCTTTCTCCATCTTTGCTGCTGCAGAATTCACTGGGTACATTTTTGGCCATCACTCATAACTCTAAGTGCATAAATCTGACTAACTATTATCAGCTGGGCCATTTGGACCTGGGTGTTGCAAAAGGGCAGGTAGGATTGACTGCACTCTGGTGGGAAGTCGCTCAAATACCCCTGTTACCCATGGGATACAAATGTCTAATATATGACCTTTTTCTCCTGGTTTTTTTATGTAGCTTGAAATATCAGGCAAAATTTTGAACTTACTGGAATTTGTTGGAATGAGATTTCTTGATGATCTAGCAGAAACTGTATCTGAATGTGCTACCCTGTGAGGAGAGCAAGCTTAGATTTTGTCATCAGTTGGGAATATTGCTAACAGCAATATCGAGTTCTGGGGTGGGCAGCAGTGCAGATATGAGAGCTGATAATGTTGATAAAAAACAAACCTGTGTTGAAGATGCTTATTATGTTAATTGGATCCTGTGCAAATATTGCAGACACCTCAGAAACACGGCCGCTGAAACAAAACTTTGCATCAAAAGGTATTAATGAAAAAATCTCTTCAACTGTGAGCAGCAGATCAAAGAATAAAGGTAAGGCAGTTTTTTTTTGTTATATGAAGATACTTTATACATCAGACAGCCTCCTGTGAAACCAACAGTGATGTATTCTTAATCATTTATTTAAAACATCACCTCTGTGTAGGGTACTGAAAATGCTTCTAGAAGTATGACTAACTTCTAGAATAGAACCTTGTGTATCTGAAATGGTCCCAACCAAATACAAAAGAGACTTGCTTCAGGAGCAAGCATTTTAGTTTATATTTTTGTCTCCTTCCTTTAGGCCACTACCATGGGGACCAGTTGCTGTATCCCAGTTCTGGTATATGTAGCTCTGTACAACCTGTGGATCAAAAGAGTCTTTGGTCTGTGCTGTCTTGACAATCTAAGCTCAATTAAATTGAAGTCCGATCAAAATTCATCTTGTCATCTTATTATCATATTATCTTCAGAATTTGATTCATGAAACAATTAGATGCTGCAATACGTACCCTTGTGGTCTTTATGGATGAATTTATTGGATGCATGGCATTCTTGTCATTATAGAAAGTCATACTGAATTAGCATCCCAAAATGGGTAATATTTGTTTCCTGATATAGTTATCTGATTGTACCTATATAAGGTTTTGTCTTGATATCAACATATTCCACACAAGTGCAAGGCAGTTACTGTCTCTAACAAGAGAATCTAACCATTGCTCCTTGACGTTCATGGAAATAGACTTCTGTGATGGTATTCAAACACCCTGGGGGTTAAACTGAACTGGACTAGCCATGCAAATATTGTGGCTATGAGCAAGTCGGAGGCTACCTGCAGCAAGTGACTCACTTCCTGACTCTGTGAAGCCTGTTCACCATCTACAAGGCCCACAGCAGGTGTGTGATGGAGTACTCCTCACTTGCTTAGATGAGTGCAGCTCCAAACATAGATGAAGCATGACACCATTCGGGATAATGCAACCCACTTGGTTTTCATCACATCCACCCCTGACACTCTGTAGCCACAGTGTGTGCTATCTACAAGATGCACTGCAAAAAGTTTATCAAGACTCCCTGGACAGCCCCTTCCAAACCCATGATGCATACCACCTACAAGGACAACGGCAATTGATATAGGGGAACACTACAACCTGAGACAAAAATAAAAGTTGCTGGAAAAGCTCAGCAGGTCTGGCAGCATCTGTGAAGAAAAGATCAGAGTTAATGTTTCAGGTCCGGTGACCCTTCCTCAGATTCTTTTTGGTTTTTACTACAACCTGAAAGTTCTCCTTCAAGCCAGTCATCATCCTGGCTTGGAGATATATCACCATTCCTTCAGTGTCAGTGGGTTAAAATACTGAAACCCCCTCACAAAACAGCATCATAAATCCACCTACTCAAAATGGACTGCACCACTTGAAGAAGGTAGCTGACTGCTACCTTCTGAAAGTAATGTGACCTAACTGGAGATGTGCAATAAATGGTAGCCAAAATTAGTGATACTAACCTCCTATGAATGAATAAAATTAGCACTTTTGTAAATCTAGAAATACTATTTTAAAAAATTGTCTTTTCTTTTTTATGAAACAGTAATTTGATTCATTATGTTTATTATTTGCCTGTTCAATTTGCTTTTATCAGTTACGCTACCTGATTGCTTCCAAAATCACGTCTTAAAACTACAATTAATGACAAATTTACTTGACGTTCCATGTCGTGCTTTGACTGAATGAATTGGCCTTCTGAACTTTTGAATTTTTTTTTGTCAACAGGACTAGTTTCACAATCGGGAAAATCTCCAGGACATAATAGGAACCGATCTGAATTACGTTGCACATTAAATGGTGCATCCATTGATCCACAAAAATCAAAAAGTACATGGTATATTGATGAAGGTAATGAACTTGGAAATCAGTAGGCATCATCTGCTTTCTGAAATAATGCAGTTTGCTAATTGTTACTGTTATATTTGTAACTTTGATTATAATTTTGCATATCATTGGTGTTACTTTCATAAAAGTCAATTTGTTACAGCAGTAATTCATCGAGTTGATGTACTCTTGTCCATCTTTACATCAGAGTTTGACATTGTTTTTATTTAAAAAGTACTGGAGAAACTCCGGGCTGGCATCATCTATGGAGAGAGAAACAGAGCTACTGTTTTGATTCCAGTATGACTCTTCTTTTGAATGGATGCGGCCAGAGCTGCTGTTTTTTTGCACTTTGTTTTTAATTTAGGATTGCCAGTATCTGTAGTATTCTGCTTTTATTTACATTTTAAAAATTGATTTTAGCTTTGCACAAGATTTGTTTCAAATGTTAAAAGAAAGAATGCTGCTAATGTAGATTGCATTGGAGCTAAAACGATTTAGTATTGTGATGTACTGGCATTTTATAATAGCAAGGTTTGTTCATTTATTTCAGATTCACTGCAATTGAGCATATATTTCTGAGTTTAAAGATCACTGAATTTTATAATATGAAACAAATAGGGAAGGTAAAAGAGGAGGGGTTGTTGCGGTATTGATCAAGGAATCTGTTACAGCAGTAAGGAGAAATGACATCGTAGCCTTCTCAGATGAAGTCATATGGTTAAAAGTTAAAAACCAAAAAGGAGCAATCACATTTCTGGGTGCATAATATAGGTCCCCTAACAGTCAGAGAACTAGGAGAGAAAACATGTAGGTAAATTTCAGAGACATGTAAAAGTAATAGGGGAGTGATAGTAGTAGATTTCAACTTCCCAACGTTAACTGAAAGTTTTAGACGGAGCGGAATTCTTAAAATTCATTAACATACTGGGTTAAAATGGTATTCTAGAAGAGATTGAGCATTCTTTGACTTAATTTTAGGTAATGAAGCCAGTCAAGTGGTTGTAGTACAAGTTGAGCATTTTGCAGTCAGTGATCATAACTACATTAGATTCGAGGTTGCTTTGGAAAAGGACGAGGATGCACCTGAAATCAAAGTTCTAAACTGGGGGAAGGCTAATTTTAGTAAGATCAGATATGATTTGGACGGAGTAGACTGGGAGCAGATACTTTTACGTAAATCTGTGTTAGTAGTGGGATGTAAGGAGCAAGTATAAAGAGTTCAGGGCCAACATATTGCGATATAGGTAAAGAATGAAACCAACAATCCAGTGAACCCCAGATATCAAGGGATGTACAGGATTGGCTGAAAAGAGGAAAGGCTTACGGTAGATACCAGGGCCTGAAAACAGAAGCACGAGAGGAGTACGGCACGTCCAAGGGGAAACTTAAAAAGGAAATTAGTAGAGCAAAAAACAGATATCAAAGGAGAATGGCAGGTAAACCAAACAGAAAATCCTAAGTTATTTTAAAGTATATTAAGGGTAAAATGATAACTAGGGAAAGAGGAGGGCCCACTAAGGACCACAGTGGTAATTTGTGTGTGGTTCTGGACTATGTAGGTCGGGTTCTAAATGATTACTTTGTGTTGGTCTTCACTACTGAGAAGAACAAAGTGAGTATAGAAATCAAGGAGAAATATTTGTGATATAGTTAAAGAAATTTAACAGAGAGAGGAAGTTCTGAGTGGTCTGGCAAGCTTAAATGTAATTAAAGGTCCAGAGCTGGATGAATTGTAACCCAGAGTGTTGAATGAGGCAAGGGAGGAAATAACATGGGTGCTGGCAATGATTTTCAGTTCCTCCCTGGCCATGGGAGTGGTGCCAGAGGACTAGAGGATAGCCAATATGGTACCATTATTCAAGAAGGGAGAAAGGGATGAACGAGGATTCTACAGGCCAGTCAGTCTAACTTCAGTGGTGGGCAGACTATCGCATGCATTTGAGGCAGGGATTAATCAAGAACAGTACGCATGTTGTTTTTAAAAGAGGAGTCACCCACAATGCCATTAGGGAGGGAATTCCAGGATTTTGACCCAGTGACAGTGAAGGAACTGCGATATATTTCCAAGTCAGGATGATGAGTGACTTGGAGGGGAACTTGGATGTGGTGGTGTTCCCATGTATTTGCTGCCCTTGTCCTTCCAGATGGAAGTGGTCGTGGGTTTAGAAGGTGCTGTCTGAGGGTCTTTGGTGAATTTCTGCAGTGCATCTTGTAGATAATGCACGCAGCTGCTACTGAGTGTTGGTAGTGGAGGGAGTGAATGTTTGTGGATGTAATGCCAATCAAGCGGGCTTTGTCCTGGATGGTGTCAAGCTTCTTGTGTTGTTGGGGCTGCACTCATCCAGGCAAGTGGGGAGTATTCCATAACAATCCTGACTTGTGCCTTGTAGATGGTGGACAGGCTTTGAGGAGTCAGGAGATGAGTTACTCGCCGCAGTATTCCCAGCTTCTGGCCTGCTCTTGTAGCCACTCTGTTAATGTGGTGAGTCCAGTTGAGTTCCTGGTCAATGGTAACCCCCAGGATGTTGATTGTTGGGGATTCAGTGATGGTAACACCATTGAATGTCAAGGGGTGGTGGTTAGATTGTCTCTTATTGGTGATGGTCATAGCCTGGCATTTGTGTGGCGTGAATGTCACTTGCCGCTTGTCAGCCCAAGCCTGGATATTGTCCAGATCTTGTTGCATGTGAACATGGGCTGCTTCAGTATCTGAGGAGTCACGAATGGTGCTAAACATTGTGCAATTATCGGCGAACATCCCTACCGCTTACCTTTATGATGGAGGGAAGGTCATTGATGAAGATGGTTGGGCCTAGGACACTACCCTGAGGAACTTGCTTCTCTGCTGTTTGAAGATATTGTTAAATGCAACCTGTTGTGTATAAATCTAAACTTGGCTCAGAGCACTCATTCATTGTGAATGAAAGGAAATGTGAGGGTAATTTGAGGTATTCTATTCAATTCTATTGAAATGAGAAACAACATTTTTGCTTTGTGAGTGGTTTTTTTTTTTTGATTTGTTCATGGGATGTGGATATCACTGGCTAGACCAGTATTTATTGCCTATCTCTAATTGCCCTGGAGAATGTGGTGGTGAGCTGCTGCCTTGAACTGCTGCAGTCCTTGGGGTGTAGGAACACCCTCGATGCTGGTCAGAAGGAAGTTCCAGGATTTTGACCCAGCGACCGTGCAGGAACAATGGTACAGATCTAAATCAGGATAGTGTGCATGGCTTGGAGAGGAGCTTGTACATGGTCATGGTCTCATGCATCTGCTGTCCTTGTCCATCTGGGTGGTGGAAGTTGTGGGTTTGAAAGATGATGTCAAAGAAGCCTTGGTTAGTTGCTGCAGTTACTACTGGAATGTCCGACTTGGATGTGTGGTGCAGGCAGATTCAGTTGTGGCTTTCGAAAAGAAATTGAATAATTATCTGAAGAGTCATATGTGCAGAACTACAGGGAAAAGATGTGAGAATGGGACGAGATTAGTTCCTTCAAGGAGCTGACATGAACCTGATGGACTAAATGCAGCCTTCTTGCTGTAACAGCTCTTTAATTCTATAAACTGATGACCTCTTTATTGATTCACATTAAAAAGCTAATCACAATCTTACAATATTGCTGCTGCTTTTTGCATTGGTACTCTTGACTGCACATATTTATATTAGCTGGATGTTATTTATTTACAGGAAGTGAAGATACAGCAAAATCACTAGTAGACACACATTCCAAGTTGAGTCAGTCACCACCCACAACGTCTTCTCTTCAAGCTTCCCTTTCAAATGAAAACAAATTCCATTCGTTGCCCTTCAGCCTTACCAAGAAACCCAATGTAAATGGAAGCATAGGTCATACCCTTTCCTTGTCTGTCCAATCAGTAATGATGGATGTGAATACCAGTGCAAGTCAAGATGCTGAACCAGGAGGATTATCAACAATCGAGCAGCCCAATTTGGAAATAGGATCGTTGGTGCAAGTAAAGGAAAATCCTCCTCTCTATGGAGTAATTCGGTGGATTGGGCAACCTCTTGGGGTTAATGAACAAATAGCTGGACTTGAGCTTGTAAGTATAATGGAAATAAAGCTAAATGGAAAGTTTTTTTTAAAGTATCACATTCTAATCTTCACATGGTTTGCCTTGCAATAGAAACATGGCATATTTAGCCAGGAGAAACCTGGGTGTGAATTCAAACATGCAAACATGGGTGGGTTGGGAATAAGTCATATGTTAAAGTTTTGAATTTCCGAAACCCAGACTCCAACCTCTCCTCTTCCAAGTCTAACAGGCAGTGCGGGGGCTAAACAACCAACTTGCATTTAGGATCCAATTTATTAATTTAATGAGACTGGCAGCCTTTCATTGTAAGTCGCATTGCAGGTTCAACAATGCTCTGTTGAATTTCCCAGCCTCTGAAAACATGTCAACTGAAAAGTGGCAAGAAAATGTAACTGTCTTTAAGAACACAGGCCCATTTGCACAGAGGTGCTATCTTGCGCTCTCTTGCACTCTTTTGCTTTCTTGTGCCCTCTCTTTCACCAGCTCAAATCACTTTCAAAAAACATTTTTGGAATTTTGAACATTTATTTGTCTTTGTCCCATTTCTGCATTTCTTAATATTGCCCAGAAATGTCATTCTTAATTTGTTTTTAATCTCTTTTGGTTTTGGTTCTTGTGTCATTTCTCTGATGTGGGAAGCTTTTGTACTGTTCAGAGTAGATTTGTTATTTTTGATTTAAATGGGTTTTGCAGAACATTGATGCATTTACAAAATCAACCTGTGTGAAAGTTTCTGTTTCTGTATTACTTGCCCTATTTTGGTTCATGTATGTTTTGATGTCTTGATTGCAAACTTATGATTTGTGTTACTGAAGCATGTGCCTGGTATCATCACCCTTGCAATAAGACAAGCTCCAGATAAAGAAGTCGTCTTTAGGAGCTGTTGCATCCCAGTATGTACCATCCCATTAGCTGAGCGTGAAGGTCTAGATTCAAGTTCCAATGCAGGACTTAGTGACAAAGGGATGCGTTTTGATAATGTGGCCAAACGAACTGAATATAAACTTGTAAATCCTACCAACCTGGTGCTGGCTCATGTGATAAATGCAAGAGAGATTCCCTGTCAGCCATGTGATGGAAAGAAAATTGGAGCCCTTACCATCACTGTTCACAGCTCCGGACTACAAAATGTATGTAAAAGTGCTTGTTACCACAGCAATTCTGACTCCTCGGCAGAATAGCTAGTATGGATCTGTTTGGTGTCAACAGTAAGGAGTTCAATACCTGTTCTGGCTGAGTTGGGTACTGGACCTAGTGTTGTAGGTCACTGTGTTATGGATCAGACCTGACTTTGGGCAGAGAACTGAATAAAGAACCACATTTAAAAAATAAATGTGATCCATTGGCTCTTTAGCAGACAAGAGAAAGATGTTAGTCTATTTGTACACGGTAAAATCCCACAAATAATAATGTGATAATAACTAGATAATCTGCTTTTACTTGTTTGTTGGGGGATAATTATTGACCAGGCCACTAGTGCTGTGGCATCTTTAAGATAATTCTGAGATTTGCAGATTGATTTTCAATTCAGCATCGTTGCCAAAAGGTGACACCTCTGATAGCGCAGTACTGTGCTAGGGAGTCAACCAGATTTTGTGCTCTAGATCCTTCACTAGGACTCGACCCTTCATCCTTTTGACTAAGAGATGAGAGCCTTATTGACCAATGTTTGATAAAGTTCCTTAACTTTATAAACCTAATCAATGAGAGATGAGTTGGATATTTGAATCTATTTATCAATTAATATGTATGGTCTCTTATGTATATAAGAATATAGAGCTTGTTGCTTGCTTTTTAGTTTCATAATGAAGGCTTAAGATTTTTGCTTTTATTTAGGAAGAAGAAAGCGTAGGCTGTACAGATGGTACTTTCAAGGGAATACGTTACTTTATGTGTGCATCGAAGAAGGCTTTATTTGTAAAACTTAAAAGCTGCCGGCCTGATTCGAGATTTGTGTCGTTGCCTCATCACTCCAATCAAATTGAAAGATGCAATTCCATTGGTAAATTTTTAATGCAGTTCTCCCTTTGCACTTCAACAGCAAACAAGCAGTGTGCAATCTATGGCATATTAGCAATTTTGTTTTAAAAAGAACTGCTTTATTTAATGTCTAGTCCTTTCTTCTTGAAGTTGAAGTTTCAGATCAACCTTCTGGGTTACTTATATTTTTAACAGTGTTGCTTACCATGTAGATCAGTTGTTAAACAGGTACAATTTTTAGTTGTGGTATGTAGAAAATAAATAAAAGCAAAATAGTGTGGATGCTGGAGATTTTAAAATATAAACACAAAATGCTGGAGAAAACTCAGTAAGTCTGGCATCATCTTTGGGAAGAGAAACAGTTAATGTTTCAAGTCCAATGACTCTTCCTTGGTACTAAAAAGAAACCTCCTCTTTTCCCCTTCATTTGTTATAATTTAGTGGGAAATTGATTAAATGTGTCACAGAGAAACAACCCATTGAACAAAATGAAAAGAAACAAGCAATTAAAGGACCAGTGTTAATTGTGGAGAAATAAAATAGCTGTAAAGAATAAAAAAAAAGCAGCTGTTGGCAGGAATTAGAGATTGATGATGAACAGGAATGTTTTCTAAGCTTGGTCGAAGTATTGCAATGAATCAAAAAAGATAGATGCGTTTAAATGTTTCCAGTACTGTTTTTGTTTTTTAAAAACAATGGGAAAATTACAGATCAAGCTCAATTGAATCAGAAATTTATAACTTACATGGAGGTCAATAAAACTTGAATAATTAGGGGTACTTCCCCCTACAGTGTTTTAGAGCAAAAATTATAAGCCAGTGGCAAGCATTTGCCCAAACAAAAAAAACATTTCCTTCAATATTTACCTAAGAATTGCTAATCCTTTGGAAGTGCATCTCAGGATGAGATGGTACCTCCAGAAAGGAAACTTATTTTCCCTGACAATTGGCTTGTGTGTCTCTGTTTCAGTATAAAAATTGAGTTAATTGTAGATATTATGAAACAACCTCTTCAGATGTATTATTACACGACTCTAGATAGGTGGGACTTTATTGCCAGTCCCTGGTTGCCCTTTAGAAGGTGGTGGTAGGCTGCATCTTGAATCACTTCAGTCCATGTGCTGTAGGTTGACCCGCAATGCCCTTAGGGTCGGTGTTCAAGGATCTTGATCCAGCCACAGTGAAGGAATGACCGTATGTTTCCAAGTCAGGATGGTGAGTGGCATGGAGGGGAACTGACAGATGGTTGTGATCCCATCTATCTGCTGCCCATCTCCTTCTAGATGAGAGTGATCGTGGAACCTGAGTGGCAGAGCAGGCTTCAGAATCCCAGATGTTTGCTCTGATCCTAATTCGCATGTTCATTATGCTTTCCATTAGCTTGACAAATCCGTACAGGGCCTAGTTGTGATTTGCTAGTACCACTTAAAACTCACCTGTAGTGCTTAAAGTGAAAGTGTGTTTTGACTTGAGTAGGGGCTGGGAGCCATGATTGAAAAGAAATTTCTGGAAGATAGACAAGAAGCACGTAATGGAACAGAGAACACAAGTGGGTTGTAGCCTAAGCAAAGGACAAGAGTAATGGTGGTGCTAGCTTGCTATAGGAGGAAGTGCTCCGATATCATTCCTGCAAGAGAGACCTCCAATGAAGACATCGTCAGGATGTATCACAGATGACCGCTGGTAGGTATTCATAGCAAAATGCCTGGGGATACCTGCCTGAAATCTTGCTGTTACTGTCATGCAGTGTGGAGAAGCCCCCCGAGTATTTAGTACAACACTTTGAGCAGAGCTTGGAGCCATCCTTTCCAGAATGGAAGTGGTGGCGAATTAACTTGTACATTTCTGGATGCAATAGTGCTACAGTTTTCATTGCAGCATGAGGAGAAGCCATGGAATTGTTCTGTTGCAGTGAAAGCTTGGAATTCTAATTCAAGCCTTGACTACTACCAACATAATTGTGTGCAAAGTGACTTGTAGGTTGTCACAGCAATTTGGCATTCTCTCATCCGCCAATTTGGAAGGATTGTTCAAGCTGCTACCCTAGGGGTATGACAGTGGCTTCATGTGGGAACGTCCTGTTGTCTTCTTTCAGGGGGACCTCCATTTATTCACCCTTGCCCTCTGACCCACAACATGCCACTATGCCTTTGGTTTTAGCACTCAAGTCCAGACTATGAGAGGGGGTCTTATTCATAGAATAATCATAGAATCCCCACAGTGCAGAAATGGGCCATTCGGCCCAACAAGCCCACACCTACTCTCCGGACAGCATCCTATCCAGACTCCTATCCCTGTAACCCTGCATTTCCCATGGCTAATCCGCTTAATTTGCACATCCCTGGACACTGTGGGCAATTTAGCATGGCCAATCCACCTAATCTGCACATCTTTGGACTGTGGGAGGAAATTGGAACATCCGGCAGAAACCCATGAAGAAAAAAGGAGAATGTCTGTGTGGAGTTTGCACAGTTGCCTGAGGGTGGAATCAAGCCTGGATCCCTGGTGCTGTTTGGCAGCAGTGCTAACAACTGAGCCACCGTGCTACCGAACTGCAGAAGGAACCTCAGGTGTATTGCTTGAAAGTTTCAAATTCCATTTTTTAATTGATATCAGTACTAGAAGAACTTGGTAGATGTCCGCTGGTGCATGTGTACCTTTTTTGTGACTGGGATGAGAGGGGTTGAAAGGAAATGTAGCTTTTCTCATGTAGTTCGATGGCAGAAAAGTACGAATAAAGTTAATTTATGAATAACAGTTTTTTAGACAATTGTACCTCATTATTCAAAACTCCTCGGCAACAGAAGGATCTCCTTTTGGTCCGTGTGTATGATTCAGGATTAGACTCTGAATCATGGACAAAAAGATGGGTCAGGTGCAGAATGAAAGAGTAGTCCTCACTGATTTGTCACTGATTTGCTGCAGTGGGAGGTTGCTTTGTAGCAGTCGTGCTTTTATATCAAAGACCTCCCACATGAAGATGTGAATTAAAACATTTGGGTACCTAGTGCTTTGTGTAAATAGCTTAGATGTCCATAACAGTTCCACACACTTAAAAGCTACCATGTTTGTTCTTTCACCATGTTGAAGGCTGATATTCATTATACAGCACTATTTTTTTTTTGAAACTTTAAATACAGTCATTGGAAAATATTGATTGAGAGATCAGGTGTGACAGCATGTGCTTATGTTTACATGCTTGGTATGTGCCACAATTGAGTTGCAAAAAGACAACCAGCTGCTTCTTACTGCTAGGGTGAAACCTTTGTTGACTGGGACAAGTCAGTCCTGATGTTGTAGTTAGGAGAGTAATTCATATCTAATGATGAGCTGTATATGCTCCCTGTGCCACTTGTGAGACCTCATGATATTTTCAGTATACCTTGAGAAAGAGAGGCATAAACCGATTGGTCGGCTGTCTGTTTACCAACTAATACGTATTTTCTCTTGAATGGAGATTTTGTATTATCAGGTAAGGGTAGCTTTGAGATGTTGTTTCTGATAGTGGAAGTACAGAATGACTTCCATGCTGATACTTCTGCCAAGAAAATCAGAATTTCAGGACAGTATTAGTTGTTCAGCCAATTTAGTTGACCAATGAAACTGGAGGTGATTTAGATTTGTCATTGGGCACTGGAATTCTTGCCACCGAGTTCAGATCACCCTGAAAGTGACTATCTGAAGGGTAAGTTATTACTGGCTAGACAAATAAGAAATGTACTATGGTGGCAAACTGTAAGTTTTGTTGGATTAAACTTCCAACAGTGTATCTGAACATATTTGGAGGATTCATAATCTTTGAGTTTTGCTGACCAACTAAACTGTTTGAACTTGGATAAGTCAAGTATGTCCTTGAGCAGGAGTTGTGTGTGTTTGGTTTGAAACAAATAAAAAGCTTAGTCTGTGTGGATTTTATAGTAACTTAATTTAAAGACACCTAAGTATGGTGATGCTCTTCTGTGTACGTTACAGCCCAGCTGACTGCAACAAATTCACTGTCCTGTATCTGATTCCAACTCTTCTTTTCAGGGTCTCAAAATGGCGAGACTCCTACCTCTTCACAATTTTCCTTCTTTCCAGTCTGCAGGCCTTTTAAAGTGAATTTGATTTTGCCTGTTTTGGGGTTACTTTCCCTTTTACACTTTGTAATTTTGTGAAAATGCTTCCATGTTACCAGGTATTTTAATTCAAAAGAATTATTGTTTTTGAGCTTTGATAGGCCAGTCAAAGTCTCTCTTTAATATTTAGCACATTTTTAAAGAAATAGTTTTACAAAAATGATCCTATAATGCATTAATGTGATTTTTAATCCTAATGAGAACAAATACCACTTACTTTTACATATTTGGGCCAAATTGTACACATTGCTTGAATTTTTGAATGCATATTATTCATTGTGATGAGGTAGCATAATCTTTATGGTATGATTTACTACCATGTTACGTTCTGAATTTTTCTGTCAGCAGTAAAGTATGACACTTTCTGTTGACATTGTAGTAACTTGCTGATAAAGATCTAGCAATATTTTATGGTGTAGATTTTCACATCTCTATAATTAATGTATTCCAGTGCAAGGACCAATGACATCATCAAGCAGGTTAAGCATACAATTCTCACGTAACAGCTCACCAGGAAGTGACAGACAAGTTTTATCCTTAACCTGATAATAATTTTACAGGAAGTGAAACACAACTTGGGGCGTGCATGCGAGATTACAGGTGGAAGCTAAAATGTCACAAACGTTCAAAAAGATTGCAAAAGTCTAGGGCGTTTGTAGTTTTGACATTTTACAAATAAAAAAAAATAATTTTTATGGGTCAGTGAGGTGGTTTAGCAGTAATTCTGACCTACTGCACTATTTATATTTTTGAAAAGAAATATGAAGCAGTGCTTCAGTCAAGAAACTTGACAACATCTACTCTCGCCCCAAGAAAACATATAAAAATAGAGTATAAAAAATTAAACTCTGTACCATTTCAGTGACTTCTGAAGATTTTCAGTCTGACAGGAGAAAACATTTTGTGAAGGACTGGATAATTACCAGCAGTATATTGTGGATTTCTGTGTTTTGATTATAAATTTGCAGATGGCACAAGTTGCTGTTAGTTTTGTAGATCTAGTAATGACAGTATGCAGTGACAGTATCTGCATTACTACAACGCCAGAATTTGGGCTGTTATAAGTAAACATGCACTGAGATGTGTTTTTTCAACACCAGCAGGCCTATGTTTTGTCATTATCAGTCAATGAATACAGCAGAAAAGAATTGCTGACAGTTCGTTTTTGTTTCAGCATTTGGAGGATATCGAAGTGAAGTGGTTAAAGAAAATACACCTCCCAAGATGGAAAAAGAAGGCCTAGCTATAATGGTTGGAAAGAAAAAGGGTATTCAAGGGCATTGCAATTCCTGTTATTTAGATTCCACTTTGTTCTGGTAGGTGTGTGTGTACCAACCTTTCTGTTGTAAGGCTGTTCGGAGCTTGACCTTTTTTATTTACTCACGCAATGTGAATGTCACTTCCAAGGCCATCATTTATTGTTGATGCCAAATTAATGTTGGGGTGTTGATGCTAAGCAGTTTCATAGAATATAACTGAATATCTTGCTGAGTCATTTCAGACGACAGTTAAGAGTCAACCACATTGTTAGTTTTCTGATGAAGGGTCTAGGCCCGAAACGTCAGCCTTCCTGCTTCTATGTTGCTGCTTGGCCTGCTGTGTTCAACCAGCTCTACACCTTGTTATCTCACATTGTTAGTTCCCTAGTTTCTGATTTGTGAAGCTGTGTGGTTAGAAATGAGGGTTTTAGCACTTTAAAGTATTATAACTTACTGCCATGTTCTCACCCTTTCCCTGTAACCCTGCACATTATCTATTTATATTCCCTCTTGAATGCTTTGATTGAACCTACTTCCACCATACTTCCAGACAGTGGCATTCCAGGGCTGTATGAAAAACGTTGTTCTTACATCACACTGACTAATTTAAAATCTGTACCCTCTCACTTTTGATCTGATTATAAGCTGAAAAAGTTCCTCCCTATCCAACAAAAATAAAATACTGCTGGAAATCTGAAACAAGCTCAGAAAGCTGGACAAACTCAACAGGTCCTGCAGCATCTGTGGAGAGAGAAACAGGTGGCTTCTTCAGAACTGAAATGTGTGGGAAAATTGGTTCTTTATTATACTTATCACAAACGCAGGGGATGAGCAAGAGGGCAGATAATGAAGGGATCCAGTGCAAAATACAAAGGGCTTGTTAATAGTGGAGGAAGCAAAAAAAAGTAAAATGTAGTTAAGGTGTAAAAGGGAGAGAATTGGTCCCCTCTTGTAACTGCAAAGATAGTAAGACACAAACACAACAGGGCTGCGGGGTGGAAATGGAGGTGGGGAGAAAAAATATAAGAAGAATAGAGAGTACACATAATGTGATCAATTTCTGAAGTTATGGAATTCCGTATTGAGACTTTGAAGCTGTCTTCCTAAGCAGAAGAAGAGGTGTTATTCCTTGATTACATTATGCTTTGTTGGAAAATTGAGGTAGCCCCAGGACTGAAATGTGAGCATGAGAGCAAGGTGGCTTATTGAAATGGTAATCATCTGGGAGATAAGGGCCACTCCTATGGATAGAACAAAGCTGTTGCACAAAGCAGTCTTCCAGTCTGTGTTTCTTACATTCTCTTCTCTTGCCCCCTCCTCCATTCACTCTAATGTATTCACATCCTTCATAAAGTGTGACACTCGGAACTATGTAAAATATTCGATCTGAAGTCTAACTGGTGTCTTATACGTTCAGCTCAAACTTCCTGCTGCTGAACTCTATGCCACTGTATTAAATGCTGTGTTACTACATGCATTACTAACTGCACACTCCAACTCTCCTGCTACCTTTAATCACATATCATCATATCTACCCAACTCCTTGCTCCTGTACACCTTTTAGAATTGCACCCTTTATTTTCTATTGTCTCTCCATGTTCTTTAACCAAAATCAGTCACCTGTCATTTCTCCGTATTGAACTTCATCTGCTACCTATTTGTCCACTTTGCCAACGTACCAATGTCCATTTTGAATGTCTACATTGTCCTGCTGAATTTTGTATCATCTGTGTTTTGAAATTGTCCATTGCCCACCAAGATCTCGATTTGTTGATTTAAAAAATCAAGGGAAGCAAGAGTTCCAATAAAGGCACCTAGGGAACCCCGTGGTAAATCTTCTTCTAGCCTGAAAAACACCTCTTAACTATTACTCTCTGTTCCTATCACTCAGCCAATTTTGTATCCATGTTGATCTATCCCCTTTAATCCATTACTTGTTACTTTTCTCATGTCTCTTGCATGGCACTGCATCACATCTATATTGACCCTCTCTGTTACCTTTTCAAAAAAAAACTGAAGCAAGTTATTTAAACATGATTTTTCCTTTTAAAAAAAAATCTTATTAGAACTCAAGAACACAAAAACATAAGCAGGAGTAGGCCATCTGGCCCTTAGTAAGATCATGGCGGATCTTTTCATAGGCTCAGTTCCACTTACCCACCCTCTCACCATAACCCTTAATTCCTTTACTGTTTAAAAAATTATTTATCTTAGCTTTAAAAACATTCAATGACGAAGCCTCAACTACTTCATTGGACAGGGAATTCTACAGACTTGCAACCCTTTGGGTGAAGAAGTTCTTCTTCAATTCAGTCCTAAATCCGGTCCCCTTAATTTTTGAAGCTACGTCCTCTTGTTCTACTTTCACCCGCCAGTGCAAACAACCTCCCTGAGTCTATCTTATCGATCCCCTTCATAATTTTATATGCTTCTACAAGATACCCGCCTCATTCTTCTAAATTTCAATGATAATAATCCCGATCTATTCAGCCTCTCCTCATAAGCCAACCCTCTTAACTCTGGAATCAACCTAGTGAATCTTCGCTGCACCCACTCCAGTGCCAGTACGTTCATTCTCAAGTAAGGAGACCAAAACTGCACACAGTATTCCAGGTGTGGCCTCACCAGCACCCTATATAGCTGCAACATAACCTCCCTGCTTTTAAACTCAATCCAACTAGCAAGATACACCACATCTACTGGATCCCCGGTGTCCACCGCACTTTTCTGGTGTCTTCGTAGAATTCCAGAAAATTAGTCAAGCGTGACTGCCTTTCATGAACCCATGCTACATTTGTATGTATATGTCTTGCTATATCTTCCTTGACGATAGATTCAATCATTTTCCCCACTACCAAAGTTAAGTTAGCCGGCCTCTGATTCCCTATCCTTTGTCCAACTCCTTTTTTTGTTTTGAACTGTGGTGTCATGTTAACTGTTGTCCAATCTGCTGGAACTGCCAGTGAATTTTGGAAAATTACTACAAGTGCATTTGCTAATACTCCTGCCATCTCTTTTAGTACCCTGGGATGCATTCCATCAGGACCAGGAGACTTGTCTATGTTTAGCTCCATTAGCTTGCCCAACACTACCTCTTTCGTGATAATGATCTTGTCTAGGTCCTCACCTACTTTCGTCTTTTTGCCATTAGTTAATGGCAAGTTATTTGTGTCATCCACTGTTAAGACGAACACACAATATCTGTTCAATTCCTCAGCTATTCCTCATTTCCCATTATTAAATCCCATTTCTCATCCTCTAAATGACCAATGTTTACCTTAGCCACTCTTTTTTTTTTTGGTTTTTATATAATTTATAGAAACTTTTGCTCAGAATATGAAGACTGAAAGCTAGCTTAGTCTCATAATCTATCTTGCTTTTCTTTCTGGCCTTTTTTTTTGTGGCTTTCTGTTGACTTTTGGGAAAACTTTAATTTTCTAGTTCCCCACTGGTCTTTCCTGTGTTGTATGCCTTATCTTTCAGTTTGATAGCTTCCCTTATTTCCTTAGAGATCCATGGCTGATTGCCTCTTTTTCTACAGTCGTTGCATTTCACTGGTACATGCAGTATATATTATATATAGGCTGTCGATAATTATCCCACGTTTTTCTATGTGAATATTAATTCTATCCCAAAATAATTGTTTCTAGAAGTTTCCCAACTACTGGAGTTAAACTGACTATATGTAATTGCTGGGTTTTTCCCTATAATTGTTTTGAACACATCAATCATATTTGCAAATCTCCAATCCTCTGGTCCAACCCTATATCCAAGTGAGACTAAACAATTATGGCTAGTCTGTCTGCAACTTCCACTCTCCCTTGCTTCAATATCCTTGGATGCATCTAATCTGGTCCAGGTGTCTTGTCAACCTAAAATGCTGATGGCTTATCCAATACATTACCAATTTTGAACCCTTCTCGTGACTGGGTTTTCCCTCTATTTAATGGCTTGGGCAGTATCTGCTTGAAAGGTAAAGATCAGATGCACAGTATTTGTTTAACACATGCCCCCTGCTTCCAGATGTAAATCCCCTATCCCTTTTGGCCCTACAGCTCCTTAGAATCCTTTTACTATTTAGCATTGCTGCCCCTCAGTGGCAGGGTCCCGGGTCCAATTCCAGCCTCGGGTGACTGCGTGGAGTTTGCACATTCTACCTGTGTATGTGTGGGTTTCCTCTCACAGTCCAAAGATATGTAGATTGGGTGGATTGGCCATGCTAAATTGCCCACAATGTCTAGGGATGAACAGGCTAGGTGTATTAGTCGTGGGAAATGTAGAGTTACAGGGATAGGGTAGCCAGCATGGGTCTAGGTGGGATACTGTTTGGAGGTTTGGTGTGGTCTGCTTCTATGTTGTAAGGATTTTATGATTCTATGATTATTGGGCCTCTAGAAGTTTTTGGGATTCTCTGTCATGTTGGCTGCCAGTCTTTTTTTTTATGTTCCCTCTTTGCCTCTCATTTGCTTTCTCATTACCTTTCTGACCAGTTTGTATTCAGCTTGGTTCTTCAATTATGTTTTCAACCTGATACTTTGTAAAGACACATTTTCTTCTTAATTTCTGTCACCATTTTCTTCCAGGGAAGTCTGGCTGTGTTTGCCCTATCTTTCCCTTTTGAGGGAGTGCACTTTGACTACATCCAAACCATCTCTTCTTTGAAGGTTGCTCATTGTTAAGCTACAGTTTTCCAGCCAATCTTTTGGCTTCCGTCTACCTGACACAGTTCTGCCCTTGCCTACTTGCAGTCGGCTGTCCTCCAGTCAATTATTCTCGGTCTGGATTGTCTATTATCTGTGATAAATTAACACTAGGATTAGGGCTGTCATGATCCTGAACGCTGTGATACAATGATCACCATCCCCTAAATGTTCTCTGACTGACATTGAACTAATTGGCCTCCCTTGCACAAGAATCAATCTATCATTGCTTCCTTTCTTGTACTGGACACACACTGCTCTAGAAAATTCTCCTGAGCATAATCTAAGAGCATTTGCCCCTCCCTGCCCTAAACATACTATTATCGCAGTGTAAATATGTGTGATTAACATCCTTCATTGTAACTACTTTATAATGCTTGCATCTCTCTAATTTCCTTGTTGCAAATTTGTCCCTCTATATCCTTGCTGCTAGCTCATGGTCTGTAGACTGCACCAAGTAATGTAATTGAACTTCTCGCCAAACCAGATCTTTTGTTGAACCCTCCAAGACAGAGAATGCCAGGTACTGTGGTGCTGTCCTTAACCAATACTGCCATCCCTCCTTCCCTAGTTTTCATGAACACCCTGTAATCAAGAATATTTAACACCCAATCCTGTTGTTCAACAGGATCTCTGTTATCGCCATAGCATCATAATGGCACATGACAATCTGCATTCTAATTCACCAGTCTTTATTGCTTTTCTTTGTGCATTCATATAAATGCAGCATAACCTTAATTTAGAAAGGATTAATTTCTCCCTTACTCTGACTCCAGGTATTAACTAACTTTTTTTTTATTGTGCAATTGAGTATTACTGTCCAGCATTTTTCTTGATTCCCACACCTTGCAGAGTTGGTTTAATGCCTTCCCAACAGTGTGTGCAATATGCCCCAAAGGGAACTCGGGCGAAGATCTGTTCAGGTGCCATCACCCCCAGACCTAGTCCCAAAGTCCCAGGAATTTAAAGCCCTCCATTCTGTATCTTTCCAGCCATGCATTTGTCTGTTTTGTCCTTCTGTTTCTGTACTTAAAAGTTCATAGTACTAAGACTAATCTGGAGACTACTACTTTTGAGGTCCTCCTTGCTAATTTTCTATATAGCTTCCTAAATTCTGACACATCATTACCCTCTTCTTACTTATATTGTCAGTACCAATGTAGACCACAATCTCTGGCTGATCACTGTCCCCAGAGAATATTCTGAAGCTGCTCTGTGAAATCTTTGACCCTGGTATCAAGTGGGCAAAATACCATCCTGGAGTCATATCTACAGCTGCAATATGCCTATTCCCCTAAGTAATAAGCAGCCTCTTCATATTGCTTTTCCTCTATTTTTCCCTTCTGTAAGGCAATCCCACCTTTTGGTGGAACACCTACGATTGGTTCGCAACAAACAACTGCACCTCCCAGTTGCGAACCATTTCAACTCCCCCTCCCACTCCTTGAACGACATGTCCATCCTGGGCCTCCTGCAATGCCACAACGATGCCACCCGAAGGTTGCAGGAACAGCATCTCATATTTTGCTTGGGAACCCTGCAGCCCAATGGTATCAATGTGGACTTCACAAGCTTCAAAATCTCCCCTCCGCCGACTGCATCCCTAACCTGTCCTCCCACCTATCCACTCCTCCCACCTCAAGCTCCTCCCTACTAGCCTCATCCCGCCTCCTTGACCTGTCCGTCCTCCCTGGACTGACCTATCCCCTCCCTAACTCCCCACCTACACTCACCTTTACTGACTCCATCCCCGCCTCTTTGACCTGTCTGTCTCCTCTCCACCGGTCTTCTCCTCTATCCATCTTCTATCTGCCTCCCCCTCCCTATTTATTTCAGAATCCCTTTCCCCTCCCCCATTTCTGAAGAAGGGTCTAGGCCCGAAACGTCAGCCTTCCTGCTCCTCTGATGCTGCTTGGCCTGCTGTGTTCATCCAGCTCTACACCTTGTTATCTAAGGTTTAGAGGGATGTGGGCCAAATGCAGGTAAATGGGACTAGTTTAGTTTGGTAGGCATGGACAAGTTGGAGCGAAGGGTCTGTTTTCGGCTGCATGACTATTAAATTAGCTTTTCTCACCGCAAAATGCAACATCAAAATTGACTGTTTCTAGTGGATCCTTCAACATACTCAATACTTGTGTCTTTATCTAATACTTAGAAAATAAATTTCTTTGTCATTAATAGTTTAACATTTTCTCCACAGTATGTTTGCTTTTAGCTGTGTGTTGGACACAGTATTGCTTAGGCCAAAAGAAAAAGATGACGTTGAATTTTATACTGAAACCCAAGATTTGTTACGAACAGAAATAGTCAATCCTTTGAGAAAGTAAGTGTAATGCATTTCGTGTAATTCATGATTTGAACTTATTATAACGATTTTAATATCTTATCTTATTTTTATTTATTTTTATTTTTTACAATTTAGAAATAACTGAGGACTGAAACAGAACTTGCTCCCTCAAAAAAGCAAAATCCTGCATTGACATAGAATTTAGGTTTTTAAAGATTGTTGACTTTGGAATGTTTCAGAAGATCTGGTGTACTTAGCTTAAATGAGAGTGTTGTTGATATTTTTATTCACTCAAAACCCATTCGTTCACATCGAAATAAAACATGAACCCCTGGATTTTGATGAATGGGACAAACAGTTATGTAGTATAGTACAGTACTGCATTGCTGAAGATTGTGTGAATATTTGGAATAATTGAGTAAAACTATTTTGTTTCTTTTGAGGCTATATTATATTTGTTGCAGTGTGTATTGCTGTCTTTAGTCGCTACTGAAAAATGATTCCTTTGTTCTGTTTTAGCCATGGATATGTATGTGCTACTAAAATAATGAAACTTCGAAGAATTCTTGAAAAGGTTGAGGCAGCTTCAGGATTTACTTCAGAAGAGAAAGGTGTGTGACTTTTTTGCATTTCAATATTTTATAGGTTTATTTGCATTTGGGTCCCTGAAACAATTATTCATTATAACCAAACATTGCACAGTGCCTAATACAGTTCTGTATTTTTTTCAATTATTTATTGCCACTATTAACCTTGCTAAAATAAATTGCCAATTTAGGTTTTAATAATGGAAAGAGATTTCTGTTGAATAGAATTCTATGAATACTTTCCTAATTCTTCAATGTTGATAAATGCAGAGTGCTGGACCACTTATCTTCATTGGTCAGCCCTTGGTTGATACATTGTGTGCTTTTAAGCTTTCCAGACTGGGAGGTCAGTTTCTGGCGTTTGGTGGCTGTCATGATGACATTAAACGGCACTTTCTTGTGGAACTAGTACACAGGATGATTGCATGTAGCTGTCATCCACTCCCTAGTTTGCTGGCCATTTGGGAAATCAACAGCTAGTTTTCACGTATCTGGTACCAACCTATTAGATAGATGGATTGAAATGGTAAAACATGTACAGCGGGGTTTTAAAAAAAGCTCCTAACTGATCCAATAGTGGATGTCCTGGTTTCAACCTGTCCCGAAGACACATTGACAGTGGATTGTGCTCAACCTAATCCACACAGGGAATGGATAATGTGATCGCCTGTTCCTTCGAAGAGTGATTGTGGCCAAAAGTTACAGGCCACAGGAAAATCATATCAAACAGTCCAATAAGATCTGTTGCTGAAACACCTAATTTCTCCACTTTACATCTAAATCTCCTGAGATGTTTAGTCAAATGGAAACCTTTCCTGTCATGCAAGAGTAGTATCCAAGATGAATAGTTTGTTTTAGAAGTGAAGATCTTTGATACAGATTTGATGGGCTAAATCGGCTGTTTCTATGCTGTAGTTTTTTTGGATTCTACAGATGCCTTCCTTTTAGGAATGAAGCTGCATATGAATAAACTCTAATGTCTTGGATAGTTGGTTAAGGGCATTATTGTGGTTTTGTGGAAAGGAAATCTTATTTGAATAACTTATTAGAGTTGTTTGAGAATTTAACGAACATGTTCAATAAAGGGGATCAATAGATGTGAACTTGGATTTCCGAAAGGCATGTGAAAGGTTTTGCATAAGACGAGCTCATTGTGTTGGAGCTGACATATTAGCATAGGTAGAGGATTGGCTAACATGAAACAGAGAATTGCGATAAATGGCCATTTTCAAATTGAAAAGTTAACTAACGCAGTGCTAAATGGATCAACTATTTATGAAATATTTTAATAATTTAGATGAGGGACTGACTGCATTGTAAACTTATTGCTCATGACAGGAAAGCAAACTGACGAGGATACAAAGAATCTGAAGGAATATAGATGGATTAAGCAAATAAGTTTTTTTTTTAAAAAAATGGAATATAATGTGGGAAAATGTGAGGTTACCTGCTTTAAAAGAGTAGAAAACCAACATGTTCAAAAAGGCAGAATTCTATAGTGCAGAAGAATTGGGCGTCCTTGTAAATAAATCACAAGAATTGAGCATGAAGGTAATTAGGAAGGTTGGCTTTATTGCAAGGGAAATTGAATTTAAAAGTAGTGAAATATTCCTCCATATGGAGTACTATGTACAGATTTGGTCTCCTTATTTAAGGAGGGATATACTTGCATTGGACGGGTTCACTTGGCTGATTCCTGGGATGAAAGCATTGACCAATGAGGAAACGTTGGCCAGGTTGGGCCATCACTCATTGCAGTTTAGAAGAATCACAGGTGATCTTGAAACAGGTAAGATTCTGAGGGAGTGTTAACTCTCATGATGAATCTAGAACTCTGAGACTCGGCTTTAAAAATAATGATTCTCCTATTTAAGACAAAGATGAGGAATTTCTTCTATCAGGGAAGTTGGACATTGAAAATCTCTTATAGAAAAGTGTGGAGGTTAAGTCATCAGTATATTCATGGCTGAGGCAGGGAATTAAAGTTCATGGGGACAGGCAGTAAAATGGATTTGAGGCACAATCCAATCAGTAATGCTTTTTTGAATGGTGGGCAGGCTCGGAGAGCCAAATGTTCCACTGCTGTTCCTATGTAAAACTGTATTTTTTAGAATGTTTTCTACATCAGATAATTGTTCTGGAATTTTTAATGTTCTTATCATTGAAACAATTTCCTGTATATGTTACTCATTCACAACTATATTTGAACATTTTTTCTCAACTAAGTTATTGCTAGATAGTGCTTCAGGAACATGTTTTGCATCAATCTCGTTGACTAACATATTGCAATCATACGAAGATTTTAAATTTTCAGTTTTGTACAGTGGACTTGTTCAAAAAGAGCTGTTGGAGACATTCAAATTTGAATAATTTCCATCTGAGACTAGATTTAAATTTGAAACAAAAGGCTTAGAAGTCTATAGACTACTGCACCCAGCCCAGTAGGGATCCATTTAATTTCTGCCTGAGATGGTGGTTTCAGAAGATGCCCAAGTATATTTCAAGTGCTGATCATTATCAAGTGCCTGATTTAAATTTGCTTATATTAGATAATGCTAAGTATCTCCTAAATTTCTATGTTTACTTCTCAAGGAACACTTGTAGAACATCTTTTGTTTGTAATTTAAACTTGCAAAGCATTTGGCAAATGCAGAAAATGTTCTATAATGCCAATAAGATAATTTTTGGGCATTTATACTTGCTTGCCTACTGAACAAACATTTCTTTATTTTATAGATCCGGAAGAATTTCTCAACATATTGTTTCATCATATATTAAAAGTAGAACCTTTATTGAAAATCAGGTAAACAAACCTTTATCACCACTATATGAAGGCTTGAGGTGCAGATGTTACTGGAGACCTATGTTTGTATTTACTCACAATTTAATGTGTTTGGGATATAAAAAAAAGTGTTTCGATGAAAGTAGAATGCAAAACCCCAGATACATGCAAGTGGTTAATATGAAAGCTTTATGATTGAAAGCTTCCGACAAAGAGAAAGTCAAAACTTGTCTTGCACTCATCAGGATTGGAACACAAGAAATCAAACTTTGAAAGGGAGCACTAATTTATACAAAATGAGAAGAGGATTCTAATTGTTTGAGCCACTGTTGACATGGCAGTGAAGCTGGATCTGTTAACTGTCATGCTTAGCTAGTTGATTTACTTCAGCCCAGACAGATAAACTTTGATTGGTCAGGGCACTGTTACAGAGGGGTAGACTGGTAGTTTCGATACACTTTCTCATGAAACAGGTACAACATGTGCACACATTTTGCCTATACAGTATGGGGTCCTGTCTATGACTATATACACTTACTAGCACACTCAAATAAAATACACTGCAAACCCTTACAGTTGATCTTAAATTGGTTTCAGTTGCAATTCTTGACGCTGGATTATTTAGTAAATCTTGTCCAGTAGCAGAATTAATTGACTGCTGGACTCTGTTCTGAGTTTTGCAGTCACAATTTGAGTAAGCATGGTTGGCATTCTGCAGAGAGTCAGAGACCAGCACTGGAATCCTGACTAATCAGAGACTACCTGTTTGGTCTGATATTAATCAGCTAAGTTTGTCCATTAATGGACGGGTGCATACATTTGCTGGGTAAGAATGTGTTTAAATCCTTAATTTGTGCAAACCTATCCAAGCCTGACGTAGCATTCAGTTTGAGCGTGAGAAACTTGGGCCAGAAGTAACTGTGCTAAATTTTGAATAAGGGCAGCTTCACCGGGATGAGAGCAGATTTGGCATAACTAGACTCAAAGTTCAGAAGAAACGACAGTTAAGAAACAAAGGCAGAAAATAACTCGTGACTCACAACAATGACACATTTTATTGAAGAAGAGAGTCTGGGAAAGGGATAAACTGACCATTGTTTACCAAGGAAGTTAAAAATAGTATCACATTTTGTAAAAAATACTTACAATGTGGCAAAGATCAGTGGTAAACCAGAGAAGTGGGAAAGTTTGAGCAGCCAACTAAAGATGGAGAAGATAAACTATCAAGGCAAACTAATAAGCAATATAAAAATGCACAGTAACAGCTTCTGTAATTTTTTTTAAAAAAAGCAAGTGAGAGGCCAGATGAACACAGGTCCCTTTGAGAACAAGGCTAGGTAAATGTAGAACTAGGAAACGGCGGAGGAGTTCAATAAATACTTTGCAGCAGTCTTCATGATAGTGGACACTAATAGCATTTCAAAAATACTAAATAATGAAGGGGCTAAAGTAGGAGAGGAAATGAATACAATAACTATAACGAGAGGAAAATGTACGTGAGAAGGTAACCCAGTAAAGACAATAAGTTCCCTTGCCCTGATGGGTTGCATCATAGGCTTTTAAAGCAAACAGGTACAGAGATGGTGGATGGACTGGTAGGAATCTTCCAAGAATCCTGAGATTCTAGAAACATCTCAGAGGATAAGTAAACTGTTAATGTCATACCCGTGTTCAAAAAGGAAGGCAAACTAGAAGCAGGTAACTATAGGCCATCTGTCATTGGGAAGATGGTGGATTCTGTTCTAAAGGGTGTATAGTTATACAAATATGTAAGATATTCAGGATGGCTTTGAGAGGGGGATCATGCCTGACAAAACTTATTACAGTTGTCTGTGGAGGCAGTGAGAAGGATAGATAAAGGGAGACCAGCAGATGTAATATGTTTTGATTTCCAAGAACAGTCAATAAGGTATTGCACTTATGGCTACTTAAGAACCTATAGTGTTTGGGGTATTATATTAGCATGGATTGAGGATTGGCTAAATAATAGAGTTGGGATAAAGGGGGTATCTTCAGGATGGCAACCTGTAACTGCAGAAGTGCCACAGGGATCAGTACCAGAACCACTGTTATTACTGTGTGTGTGTGTGTGTGTGTGTGTGTGTGTCAATCTGTTAGGTGACAGAAGTGAATGTATTACTACATACGGATGACAAAAATAGGTGGAAATGCAAGTAGTGAGGCTCACACAAAAAGTCTACAGAGGGGTATAGATGGGTTTAGTGGCAGGTCAAAAACTTTGCAGATGGAATATTATGAGGGAAAATACGAGGGTATGCCCTTTAGCAGGAAAAATAGAAGAGCTGAATATAATATAAATAGGGTAATACTGCAAAAAGCTGTAGCTTGGTTAGATTTGAAGGTCTTCATGCATGAATCATAAAAAGCCAGCATCCAAGTTCAGCGGGTAATAGGGAAGGCAAATAGACTGTTGACCTTTATTTCAAAGGGAATAGAGTATAAAAATACAAAGGTCTTGCTAAAACCATGCAAGGCACTAGTCAAGCCACCACTAGAATACAGTGCATAGTTTTTGTCCCTTTGTCTAAGAAAAGACATAGTGGCATTGGAAACAGTCCAGAGAAGATTCACCAAGGGGGAAACTGATCAGAGTCATACCTAGTACACAGGAATGTGATTGTGGTTGTTGAAGGTCAGTCATCTCAGTTCTGGAAGATTTCTGCAGGAGTTCCTTGGTCCTCCTGACTCTTGTCAGGAGTGTGATGGAATACTCCTCACTTAGCTGGATGAGTACTGCTCCAACAACACTCAAAGTTTGAGATCATCCAGAACAAAACAGCCCCGTTGATTAGTACCACATCCATAAACATTCACTCTTTCCATCACTGATGCGTGTATATATAAGATTCAGTGAGGCTCTTCTTCCAGACCCGCAACCACTACCATTTAGAAGGACCTGGGAACACTAACATCTGCCAGTTCACCTCCAAGCTATTCACTATCCTGATCTGGAAATATATCTCCGTTCCTTCAGTGTCACTTAGATCAAAATTCTAAAGCTCCTTCTCAAACAGCACTGTGGTTGTGCCTACATCAAATCGACTGCAGTGGTTCAAGAAGGCAGCTCACCAGCATCTTCTCCAGGGCAACGAGGGATGGGCAATAAATACTGGCCCAGCTAGCATCACTCCTATCACATTGATGAACCAAAAAAAATTCCTAGTCCTGATGAGTGCAAACTAATAGTTTTGATTTTGTGTCTTTTTAGCCATATTAAGTTTTGTATTACCAAGGAATTATTTGAAAACTTATTGTCGAGTTTTGCAGAAATGTAGTCATAAAATGGGAAAAGAACTGGCTTTATATAGAACATAGAACAGTACAGGCCCTTCGGCCCACGATGTTATGCCGAACTTTTACCCGAAACCTAAAGTCTATCTAACCTCCACCGCTACCTTATACTATCATCCGTATGCCTATCTAATAGCCACTTAAATGCCCCTAATGAGGCCAACTCCACTACCGTCTCCGGCAATGCATTCCACGGCCCTACCACTCTCTAAGTAAAGAACTTACCTCTGACGTCTGCCCTATATCTACCTCCTCTCATTTTAAAACTGTCCCCTCGTAAAAGCTACCTCCACCCTAGGAAAAAGTCTCTGGCTGTCTACTCTATCTATACCTCTGATCATTTTGTACACCTCTATCAAGTCACCTCTCATCCTTCGTCGTTCTAAAGAGAAAAGCCCTAGCTGTCTCAACCTTTCCTCGTAAGACCTTCCCTCCATTTCAGGCAACATCCTGGTAAATCTCCTCTGCACCTTTTCCAACGCTTCCACATCTTTCCCGTAATGAGGTGACCAGAACTGGACACAATACTCCAGATGTGGCCGAACCAGGGTTTTGTATAGCTGGAGCCTAACTTCACGACTGTTGAACTCAATCCCTCTATTAATGAAAGCTAACACCATATGCCTTCTTAACAACTCTATCCACCTGGGTGGCAGCTCTCAGGGAAATGTGAACATGAACCCCAAGATCCCTCTGCTCCTCCACACTGCCAAGAATCTTTCCGTTAACCCTGTATTCTGCAAATATAATTCCCATTTCCACAAAATTTTAATTTGTCCAAATGTGGTTAACAAAGCCAAACCACTGTTGTTATGTAAGCTGTTGTGGCAGCCAAATTATGCGTAGCAAATAAACTGAATGACCAATTTATCTATTTTGGTCATTGTTGAAGAGTTGACTGCTGGTCAGGATTCCCTGTAATGCAAAAAGTACCATGCGACCAACTTATTTAATCTTTCATCAAAACAAATGCATCTTGTCTTATTTTGCAATGAAGTGTCAGCTTACCAAACTACCACTTACCTTGAAAAATTGGGCTTAAAATTGTCCATAGTTGTGGATTGGGGTCTAACATGGTTTCTGAAGCACGTACACACACAGTCATACAGTACGGAAACGACCCTTTGGTCCAACCAGTCTGTGCTGACCATAATCACAAACTTAAACTAGTCACACCTGCCTGCGTTTGGCCTATATCCCTTCAAACACTTTTTAAATTCATATTCTTATTCAAATGTCTCTTAAATGTAGTAACTATACCTGCATCCACCACTTCCTCAGGAAGTTCATTCTACACACGAACCACTCCCTATGTTTTTAAAAAAAAATTGTCCCTGGACAATGAGTCTTTTTTAAAATCTTGCTCCTCTCTCCTTAAGAATAGGCCCCTGAGCCTTGAAATCTTCCACCCGAGTGAAAAAACTCTTGCCATTTACTTTATCTATTCCCCTCATGATTTTATAAACCTCTATAAGGTCACCCCTTAACCTCCTTATGCTCCAGTGAGGAAAGTCCCAGCCTATTTGGACTTGCCTTATAGCTCAAACACTGTTCCTAGCAACATCCTGGTAAGTCTCTTATGAACCCTCTCCAGCTTAATAATAGCCTTCCTGTAACAGGGCACGGACCATGCTGGATTGAAGGCATTAGTGGATAGCAAGCTAATGTCTACCCAAAGTATGCAGGGTAGCCGCATCATGATGTTGCGT